GCTTTGATCTGAACTTTCGTTAATTTTTTGTAAATTGTTTTCTCCCCCATAGGAAAGCATGGAGCTGTCAGATTTTGACAGGTCCATTGGTTCCTATGGGCCAAAAAAAAAAATTCACAAAAAATTAACGAAAAGTCAGATCAAAGCCAAATCAGGTTTGCACATGACTTAAGGGGTCCTCTAACGAATCCAAGCATTTAGAACTGTTTTTGACCCTTCTAAGACACTTTTTTAATTGAAAAAAGAAATATCGTTAAGTGAAGCAGGGGACCTAAAATCGCATTCGTTATGCGAAGCATGGTCCCAAACTTCGCTAAGCAAAAATCGCCCATAGGAAACATCGTTATGCGATGCATATTATTTTCTAAAAAAACACATCGTTATGCGAATTCATCGCTAAACAAGGCAATCGTTAAGCGAGGCACCACTGTATAATATATAGAGCTTGGAAGTAAGGATAATAAACTATTTATTTGTATTTATCAATAATAATATGTCAAGTAAAATCCAAATTAGAGACCCTTTGCAGGGTTTTCTAGGTAGACAGTACTCAGAAGTGGTTTACCATTCCCTTCTTCTGGGGGCATCCTGAAACTGTGCAGCTTGCCCAAACTGGCTTTCCCCCCCCCCCTGGAGGCACAGTGGGGATTCCAACTCCCAACCTCTGGCTCTACGGTCAGATACCTAAATCACTGAGCTATCTAGACTTTTTCAGATTAGAAAAATATAACTAAATTACATTTCAAAAGCAATGTAACATATAGAATTATAACATTTTAAAGTTATTTTCAAAAGAGTATCAATGCTAGTGCAGCATTTTAAATAATATACCGTACCATTTCTCCATACAAATGGAAAATGGGGAAGCAAATTATCAATAAGGAACAGGTCCAGAATAACCTTCAACTGAGTGCTAGTCAGTTTGAAAGCAGCCTGTTTATCTATCTTAGAAAATAGTAGAAGCCCAACTGATGGAATCACTAAATGATAATAAGATAATATACAATAAAACATAATAACATTGAGACTTTGTCCCTGAAAAGTAACTTGCAAAGCTCTCTTGGAAAGAGAGTAATGGCTTCTGTGCATTGTTGCTTAACACTCTTTGAGACTTAATTTTAACACAATAATCACCATTTAGCATTTTCCTCCCTTCCCCTGTTGCAAAGCTCTCTTGGAAAGAGAGTAATGGCTTGTGTGCATTGTTGCTTAACACTCTCTGGATATTTAATTTTAACACAGTAACCACCATTTAGCATCTTCCTCCCTTCCCCTGTTGTCCCAACACAGAAGACTCTTACCCTGATGTTCTGTACATATCTGGGGATAGTCCCTCCATGCTTCCTCCACGTCCTGTCTGCTCCATCATTAAGGCCTGAAAGTGGCCCACATTCTCTTCAGGACAACGATACAGAGGTCCCTCATGAACATAGCCATTCGCTTGACTCGTGACTAGATGATGCGACAAGTGAGCACTCACTGGTGGCCCATAAGGTCTAGGGTGGAAGTGACTGGATGGATGTCGTGAGGGATAGGTTGAGCCTGTTTGCAACATGACACCATGGGGTGGGAAAGCAGAGGGCCCAAATCCAAGCCCAGAAGAACTCGCAGATGGTGGAGGGGAGCCATACAAGTACTCTCCTGCTGCAACTGATCTTTGCCTCTTGGTAGCTGCATTATGGTTGTCCAAATCAAGAAACTCTTTGGGACTTTCAGGCCTCTCTTGGCACCCATCTGATTTCTCAGCTTCTGGTGGCAACTCTTGCCCACTGCTTGGAATTTCTTTGGTGCTTGCCATGTCCATTCGGTTTGGGGAAGACAAAGCAGTATTAAACACCTCACAGCCCTGCATGACATTGCTCATGGCTCCTCTGTCTGAGAAAGGAGGCCTGGTCAGTGGTGACTGTGCATGCGGATGTCCAGTGGGACTAGACTGGGGAGGGAAAGGTGTTTGCCAGTCTGAATAACCTTGCGTACAAGTATAGTAAGGAGGCTGTTGATAGTGGTGATAAGAAGGGGAAGGCTGTGGTTGATAAGGGTATGGGACTCCTTGGTGGGGACGGTAGCGAGGAAAAACACCATGGGGGGTGTTATTTGGCTGAAAGGCCTGAGTGGGAAAATGTTGAGAGGGGGAAACTGAAGGGGGCTTCCCTCCCATCATAGGATTGAACCCCTGCAATCCTGGATTGATGTGGTAGTGTGTGGCTGAATTTGGATACTCCAGCTTGGGCATGTAGAGTGGGGCAAACTGTCCAGAGGTACTTCCAGCTGGGTTACTATCTATAGCAGCAGGAGCACCAGCACTCTGTCCCATGCAAGGCACAGTTGTTTCCAACATACTTTTTTCTCCAGTGCAATGGGGTTTCTCAGTTTTGTTAGCACCCGCTGTTTTCCCTTCTGTACCACTGGATGGCCCGTCACTTGCAGTACCGTTTTCAGGCAAAGGTCCTCTCTCTCTTGCTGATGCTACAATATCCCTCACACACTCCTGGGCTACTGGACTTGTATAGTTACTCTCTGCTGCCCATGTGCTCTTGCTCTGTGATGCCTTTCGATCATTTTTAGTTCCAGAATCATCTCCCAATCTTTCCTGTGTCAAGTTCTGCCTGGAGCAATCAGTTTTCAAAGGGGGCTTTGAATGAGGTAGCAGCTTCGGGTACGTCCCTTCAGATAGGTTAATAGACTGGGTTTTTTGTTCCACTCTTGGTGGAGGCTCCACTGCACAAAGGGAAATAAAAACAATTGAGACATCTTTTTCACTACATGAACTGATAACAACTTCAGCAACTCCAAGGCCCAATATAAAGATAATATTAACCAACTTTTATGAGACGCGGGGTCTGGAATATCCCTTCCCATTTTAATAAAGGTTTACAATGACCTATATGGTGCTAACCTATGCTAATGCGAGGAGCAATGTAATGTGTATGTATGTGCAATCTTACAGCCCGTTGACCATCAACACAATGTTTTCACATCTGAAATTCCATCACAAATTATTGCTGCAGACATTTATAAACACAGCAGGAAAATACCAGGAAGTTATTGAAGTTAATTTGCAAGATTTGCTTCTGAAGGAAACCAGTTCTATATAAATAGCTGCAACATCCTGTACCACCATTTTGCAACATGGTAAAATCCAGATGTTTTAGTCTTCAACTCTTCAGATTCCTGCAAAGTAGCTAGGATTGATGAAAACTGAAGTCCAAAAAATCTGTTTGCCACCAGGTTGGGGAAAGTTGTTCTTTACTCAGTCTAAACATGAAAATTGTGAGATAAGATGTAATGCTTCTGTGCATCTTCCATTAATTTCATACAGCCTGAAATGATATTTTTCTGGGGCAATTTATCTCAAATCTGTGTATTTCTTACCATTTCTCTTAAGAGTGAAACTTATCTCTTAGTACAGTTATCTAAACTTGTCCTATGTCATGACCCAGATAAGCATAATATTCATAATACCGTATTTTCCGTATATAAGACTATACTTTTGTCTAAAATCTTTAGACTAAAAATTGAGGGTCATCTTATACATGGAAGTAAGTTGAAGAGAGAACAAAAATAAGTAGAGGGGAAAGCAGGGATCAAAGTGATCCTGCAGGGCTTTGATCCCTGGTTTCCCCTTCGCTTGCTAAGCTCCACTTAGATTTCTTAATTTTGGTTTAGAAAAGTGGGGGGGAAAGGACTTATACATGGAAAAATACGGTAAATCAAGAGTTATCCATAGCAAAGTACCAAAAGAAAATGCATTCTGCAGTGGAAATAGTGATGTCTTACTAGGTATTAACTGTGAAAGGAAAGAATAAAGCGTCACACAAAGTATTTCAACTTAACTAGTTCTTCAACCATGTTTGCCTTAGCAAAGGAAAGATATTACCTTACCTTGCTTGTTCTCTGTCTCTATCGTCTGACTGGCATCCTGAGAATTCCCGTTCCCTAAAACAGGTTTTGGAGGTTGAATATTCATAGCTGCCACACGGGCCAGTTGTGGGAATGGTCCAGGTAAGTGAGGGGGAGGAGGCTGACGTGGGTGATAAGGCACACCAGGTGGGCATACCCGGGAGGACAGCTGCTGCATGGCAATCATCTCTGGACTGTCCATCATGGAATCTCCACCCGGGGTTCCCCTCTGTATTTGAGGAGGAGGCCCAAACAAAGAAGCTGGTAGCTGCTGCTGTATTCGCTGACCAAGGGCTTTTCCAGGTTGTCGCATATACCCTGAGGGTGGAGCTCCATGAGGTAGGAAATTAGGCTGATCAGTCCACTGACTAGGTGGCAAAGATGGCCTAAGTATCCGAGGTTCCATCATGTGGCTTAAAGGACGAGGTGGCACAGGGGAGCATGTGCCCATTGGAGATTTCTTGTCTACTCCCAGGGTCACTTGGTTTGCTGCATCATGGCTTCCATTCCACAGAGCAGGATGTGCATGGTTTATGTATTTATAAGTCCTATACATATGGCCAGGAGGAAGGTCTGAGGTCTCTGGTTGTCTCATAGGGGGTCCATTAGGCCTTGGAGAAAGAAATCCTTGCTGAAATTGTGCAGAGGAGTATATACTGGCATCTGAGGGAGGGCCACTCATTCGACCAAGTGGCAGGGACCCAGGTTGTGATCCGACTGCAGAGACATGCATTGGTCCTGCACACACCTGTTTCTCTGGAACAGGAAGCCGATGTCCTTTGGTATTATTCAGTCCAATGCTAGGCTGAGAAGCAAAACAGAAGGAAATCAGACAGATTCTATTTTTAAACTGATAACAATGCATAAATCTTAGTATTGGGTATACCATAATGAGAATCTAATACCCTGTATTAGATTCTCCATACTGTAATCAAGAACTTGGATCTTTCTGTTAGTGTGGCGGTGGCCTAAAGTATTGGGTGCTTTCCCCCTCTCCCTTGGGAGCATGAGGTGTCCAATACAGAATTAATTTTGGTTGCTATATCTGTCAGAAGGGAGTCACCATTGTGCATGACCACATAATCATACATCACTCTCATTCCCACATCTCCAGCATCTGTCTGAAGGTGACATATGTTTATACATTAATTTTTGGGTATCCAGTACATACAAAATAGAATTTGTGCTATATCAGTCTAAGTCTAAAGTCTAGGGAGGCTACACACACTGAGGCCAGAATAGTCTTCTACTGCCTATCTGATATGGTGCATTGTAGCTCTCCACTCCACTTCTTCTCTACCAATTTCCCTGATGCTTTAAGGTACCTATATAGGACTACTGCAGACTTGGATTGAGAAACCTCAATAAGTTTCTCTAGCAACCTGAGAAGCACTCAGAGCAGAGGGACCAAAAACTGCCACTAGTAAATATGTTAAAAGCAGGTGTTGCCACCTAGTACTGGAGAGCAATTTATATTTTTGTTACAAGTCTTCAAAGATCAAAAAAAAATCATCTTCCACCTGAGTAAGATAGTCAACAGTAGTAATTTCACTGAAGGCTCAACTCTTCCAAAGAAATGGCTGGCCACTACAGGTGGGATGCACCAAACTGTGAGGTTCTCATGTATACATGGATTGACCTGAAACAATTTTGTCAGATATAAAGAAGCTCTGCACATTGCTCCAACACCAGGTGGTGTTTTGCCAAGTTTGTTGATAGGGATGGAGCCCAACACCCTCCAACCAGAGAGTGGGGCCAGGAAATCCGACTCTAGCACAGTCCATGGGGGTGAGTGTCTCTGAGGCAGATGATGTGGTCCAGCCATTCACACATAAGAACAGGAAAGCTTTATGGTAAGAGATGCAAGTCTGGGAGACTCAAACCTCCCTCCTCAATTGGCAGCTGGAGTTTTTGGAGGAAGAACTTGGGGGAAAAAAGGATTATCAAAGAAACTTTCAGAATACTTCACTGAATCTCTTAAAGGTCTTTGTATAAATGATCCAGTGGATATTTCTCAAGCCATAAATTATACACGGGACGACATTTGTTTTCAGAGTGTTTGTTCTACCTTTGATCCATTTTTATTGTGACTAGTAATGGCTTCAAGTTCAATTTAATTAGTTGACTGATAACTCTGGGCAATTGGACCACCAAGTAGGTAAAGGCTTCTGGATACCATTGAAAAGGCAATCCTGAAAGCACCTCTCATGAACCATGCTTACTGAGTGGCATCAAGTCTGATTTACATCAATTTATTTTATATCCAGAGAGATCCCCCAAATCCTCAGTCACGTCCATCAATTCTAGAATGGAGATTTCAGGATCACTAATAAGCAACAGCATGTCATCAGCGTCAGAGCTGGCAGAAGCAGATGTTGTACATATGCAGTTGCATTTGTTGGATTCTACTGAAAACAGGACTGGATATTGGTTGTGGAGATTTTTAAAATTTCTAACTGCAGTCATCTAGCCACACACACTACTAGGTGTGAGTAAAACCTAATGTCCTCTGAAAAAGAAAGCTGTGTGGTTTTCCACAATTGAACCAAGTGGTGAAGAAAAGAATGATGGATTCCTTCAAGATGAACAGCCATTATCTGAATCTGATCTGTCTTCCTATACCAGTTTTGTCACCTGTACCAGTGTCAGCAGATGTTTCCCATATTTTTGTGGATACCAGATGGTTGGTACTGAAAATGCCGTTTGTTCTGAGATACTTGTAGTTTTGTTCTGAATCACCAATACTGTTGGTATTAGAAGGTTTGGTAAGGTCTATGCTAATGTGGTGGTAAACATGGAGGGAATCATTATCTAATACCAAGGCACTGTTGATTTCAAACACAGAGCCAATGTTGACAAAGTTGTGCTTGTCAGTATCAATGAACTGAGGACTTCTTGGTAGATGGTTGCTGATGATGGTCTAGATAATTTTTCTGAAGGCCATCAATGTCGAATTCTTCAATATTGCGATTTGCAAACTGGATAATTCCAGAGATCGTAATTTCAAGTGTCTTAGGAACTGAGAGTATTCTTTCAAGATGTATGACTTGCCATCTGTAATGTCTGAGAGCAGACTCCATAGCTGGCCACTGATCCTCTGTTTCTGACCTTGGGGATGTCCAATCACAGCCTGTATAGTGATAAGATGGGGCATGGTAGTGGGAAGGGATTTAAGAATATTCTTTTGTCTTTGTGATTCACATGGCAGGCATCTAGAACATTGTCAATATCTCAAGTTAAGACCTGGATCTCTTTTGATGGTCTGTGTCCATGCTGAGGAGGAAACTCCAGAAATTTTGAATATTGTCTGGCCACAAAAAACTGCCACTAATATATTTTTTTAAAGATGAACAGGAAGAGACAAGAAGGATGGAACTATGAAAGAAAAATCTGTTCTAATTATACTGCAAAACTCCTTTTGAAGAAAATATTCCTCTGATGGCTGATTGTGCAGTGGACAGGGCAGATGGCTAACCATGTACGTTGTGTATGAGAGGGGCATTCGATTGAAGGCTTTAACTCTAGAATGTTCTGAATTTCCTGGGTGCAAGTGTGTGAATTTCAGAAGACCAAGAAGAAGAACAGATGTTTCCTTATCCTAGACCTGCATATAATTCTTGTACATGCAGGTGGAGGATCAATTGAGAAAATGGTTCTTACCTGCATGGCAAAATGCTGCTGCTGACTTGGCTCACCAGGGTGTGGTTCTGGTACTCGAGGTGATCCATATGGTTTTGCAGAATCAGACCCATGAGGTGAGCTAAATGTTCCTTGCATTGTTGACCTCTGGACAAGAAAACAGAAGTTATGTGCAATATTTGGTATAAAGCAATACTTCTAGAATTGCTGTCTACAATAATTTAGTGTCAAAGAACTAGCTTTAATTTCTAATAGCAACATGGGCATTAAAAAAAAAATAAAAGTGAACTTATTCACCACTCTGATTGCTCACTATCTTCTTTTTTCTTTAAATGATCATGGTCCCTAGTCCTAGGTTGACAAACGTAGTACCTGTCTTGCCAGCACTCCATACAGAAATCCAATTGATAAAAACACTTTTTTCAGGTGTTATAGTTACCACCTGATAAATATGACAAAGAAGTCTTCCTTCCAGTCAGTTGTTAATAATTAAAAAGTGACTGGAAAGATGCCTGAGATTTGAACTGAACGTTGGCAGATAGCTACATAAGATTCCTTCTTGTTGTTTTCAAGTTCATTTAAAGAGGACGTTTCCTTGTAGCTTAAGAAAGTTTAAACTATCTTTCCAATTATATATTTGGCGTAAGACTCCGCCTCCAACAACCTTTAACACTTGTGATCTTTCAAGTTCAATGTATACTACATGAAGAAGAAAGAAAATACATAAAATTAAGTATAGCAAAAAAGGAAAAGCAAATCAACTGAATGTTATTTCTTCCCAACCCTTGGCCATATCTACCAAAGGACATTTTCTCATGTAACTTGACTGGACTGGTACTCACCATCTGTCCAGGATGGGAAACATGGCTGGGTATTCCACCATAATGATGGGAACGCAGGACACCTCGTCCATTGGAAGAAGCAACTTGTCCAGTAGGATTAACTGAGCTGTGACGTGGATCCTCTATAGAGGAGGAGGAGGAAGAGGAGGAAGAAGTGGGAACTCGATGTTTTGCTTTATGGGGTGGAAGTTTTCCTCCATTTTGCACATGTGGTTGTCTCCTGCCAGGTCCTTCAGAGTCTCTGGATCGGGTCCAAGGATTCCCTGTGCTAGAACGTATAGTCCGACGGCTTTTTTTCTCCCGCTTTCCATCTTCTCTGATCCAGAATTCATCATCTGTGTCCCCATCTTCTCCAGGTAAATGCTTTATCATTGCCCGGTAGAAACATCTCTCTAAGTTATAAGCCATTTTAGTGTACTCTGTGTTCAAACAAGTACATCAAAGAAACAGAGTTTTGTACTTACATACTTAAACAAAACAGAGTTTCACACTTATATTTATCCATTGCTTAGATCTAGTCTTGAAATCTAGGCTATTTCCTCTCTGTGCTTTTTGCCAAACCAGCTGCATACAGTTATATCTAGTTCCAACTCTAGGATTCCTATGGACTTTAATTCCATATTTCAATGGCTTTTCTTATTTAAATATTACTCACATTTGTTCAAATTAATGCATCCAAATTAAACAGATGGTATGATTAGTGTGTGTGTGTGGGGGAAAACACCCAGCAGTATAACTTCATTTTTGGTTTAGAAAAGTGGTGTCTTCTGAACTCAGGCAAGGTTCTGAACAATTGAACAGAGCCAGTGTCAAAGAACTAGCAAGGGGCTGTAAATCTTGTGGCTTCAGTATTGGTCAGGTTATTCCTGAATAAGTTGGTTTAGAATAGAGTCAACACTAGAAAATGACCAGAGACCTGCTAGAATTATTCCAATTCAGTTTCTTGCATCATTAATTTCTTAAATTAATTATCTTAATTGATATAGTAATTGTATTTTTAATGATTATATATATTTTATATTGATTTTTATGTTGTAAGCCGCCCCGAGTAGACATGGTCTAGAGGGGCGGAGTATAAATTTAATAAATAAATAAATAAATCAGGTTTAGCATTTCCTATGCAGAGCATTTTTCTTGGGAGTGAACTGTCTTATCAGTGCAGTAGTTTGCTTTAGAAAGTTAGTCAACTAAGGGTTCTCCAGCATGCTATGTAGTAAGATCACGCATACTTAAAAGGCTGCAGCCTTCCTTCTTTCCTTCCTATTGTGTAAATTAACACTATTTATCAAACATAAATTAAAATACAAAACCTAGCTGCTAGAGATGTGCACTTTGTATTTGTATTAGAAATGAAGTGAGGCACCACAGGTGGTGCCGATTCCCATCCTGCACACCCAGAACTGGATGGCCCACTTACTGACCAGCCCTTCCCCACCTCCTCATGCAGCTGACCATTCAGATTGGCAGCAAATGGAGAAGGAGGGTTATGTGATCCATGTATCCAGTTCCAGTTAAGAATTTGGCTGCTGCATTTTGGACCTGCTGCACTTTCTAAAGGCAGCACTATGTAGAGTGGATTACAGTTATCCAGCCAGAATATAACTAAGATAAGACCTCTCCAAGAACAGGTGCAGTTGACACACTAAAACCTTGGCCTTCAGGCAGAGAAAGAAAACCAAGAGCATACCCAAGTTGCGCACCTGTGTTTTCAGAGGAAGTATAACCCCATCCAACACAGACTGCATTTCTATTCCTTGATCTGCCTTTCTACAAATCAGGAACACCTCTGTCTTGTCTGGATTAGTTTATTCATCCTCATCTGGTCCATTACTGACATCAGACACTGATCTAGAACTGAAACAACTTCCTTGGATTTTGATGGAAATGAGAGATAGTGTTGGTTTCTAGGCCTCAATTATTTTAACTACATAAGAAAGTCTTCAGCTGGAATATTTACCTCCTATTAATGGAAGGCTATGATTTCCTTAGTTGTCTTTGTGGTTAGAGACTATTTAAGCACCAGAGAACTACAGAGCTGCAATTCTGTGATGCTAAGACAGTCCCTAAACATCAAAACAAGCAATAAAAATAACACTCTTATGAACAGGAAGTAAATATTCTAACTGAAGACTTTCTGTAAGGCAAAGCAATTAAGATGTGAAAAAGAAGAAAAAAACAATAAAAGGAAGAAAAAGAAAACTGGAAATTATTTTAATTTACTAAACAACTCAAAATAAGTTCAGATCACATTAAAATGTTGCCACAAAGCCAAGCAAGTGGTAAGGGAGACACACTGCTGATTTCTGAGAGCTTTAAAAAGATTATCTTGGGTGGTTTCCAGCAGATCTGCAATAATAGACTTTCTTTGTCCATCTATTTTCAACCCAGCTATGAGCAGCACTGGGTTATTTTCCAATTACACTGCCCTCAACAGACAGAACTCATGTTCAAACTCTTACCACTGGTTTCACCATTGTATTTAAGGCAGTTCCTAAACATCATCTTCATGTCCCCCACAAACTCCTCCTTTGTATAGTACTGGCCTCCATTTAACTTCTTTTCCATGCTGGAGATATCCATGGGAGTCTGAAAAATGCCACAGTATATTTAAAGCTAAGTTACCTTTAAAGCTATATTCATTGTTACACAGGTTCTTTGTTTCCTCTGATCAATGATATGGATTACATATCAATTCATTATTTTCACAGAATGTGGAAAACAAAATCACAGAAATATATCATATTGTTTACCTTAATGATTTGGTAGTAATTTGGAGCATAGGACTCATCAACTGGTTCCAGGAATGGCCAGGAGTCCTTGTGAGCTTTCACCACATCTAAAACTGTGAGCAATAAAGATGGCAAACTGTTAGACCAAAAATAGGATGTTAATACTTCCAAATCAAAATAATTTGCACAGGTAAAACCTGGAGCGGGGACTGACCTTTGTACATGGCAGTGAACTCATCATCCAGTTCAAAGCTGCAAAGTGGAAATGCAAAAAATAGATTGAAACTCTCAAGCTTTATCACTTTCCCAATTTGGTCTTGTACAGAATTCTCATCATTGAGGCTTCATCTCTACTAGGAACAGTCCTTTCCAAGTCATGCCCTCCTCATTTTCCTGTTCTTAACACCATATGATATAATTCCTCCATGGCTTTCCTTCTTGCCCTTTAGGCATTAGAGGTGAAAACCAGCTATTTTATATGTTCATGAATATTGCACTTCAGTGCAGTATACTTACAGGTCCTTGGCCTTCCTCTCCTCCCTAGCAGGTGAGCTAGGATCCAGATGAGAAAGCTCAGGAGGAAGCTCCTTTCCCTGGGCCAGAAGCCATGCTCGTTCTTCTCGGAGCTTTCTTCTTTTGGCTCGTTCTGCACACAGAAAAAAAACCTGTTACTTTTGCCAGAAACTTCTACAGATAAAAGCCCAAGAAGCTGCCCAAACGAGGTGCAGCTGGTCATTTTTATTTGTAGATGTTGGCATTTATTCAGAAGATGAAGAGAGAAGGACAGTTCAGCAGATTCTTCTACTGCTATTTAATATGTGAATTTTAATCACCACCACTGCTCCACAAACTAGTGCACAGCATCCCTGTAGCAGAGTACATTAGAAGGATTCACAGTGTCAGTTACTTTGACCACTCCTGACTATGTATGATGTTACAATAAATTCAATTCCCCTGGTGATTTCTGCTGTTGGAGAGCTATGGCGCATAACTCATGACAGTTCCCAACTGACAGATTTTTACATGCCAAATTAACATTATATGCAATACAATCTAACAATTGGGAACAAACTGTTTCCATGGAAAGGTCAGACAGACAGGGCAATTCTTACTTTGGAGTAACTGACTAGTTCTCATTATCAGTTTCTGCTATTTCCTAGGCTGAGAGCTAGATCCAATTTGCCGACCTCAGTGCAATGGCAGTATTTACAATTACATTATTTGCTTGTAGTGAAATATAGTCTTGTAGTACTAAGTGCCTTAGAGAGTGGTCCCCAACCTTGGGCCTCCAGATATTCTTGGACTACAACTCCCAGAAGCCTTCACCATCCCCTCTCCAGGCCAGGATTTCTGGGAGTTGAAGTCCAAGAACATCTGGAGGCCCAAGGTAAGGGACCACTGCCTTAGAGTCTTCCCTAGTCTTGGAAGCACCCATTGAACAAACACTTGGAAAGTATATTTGTTTAAAAATATTTGTCTTAATTGTGGTATACAAGGGTTTAGGAGTGTCTGAAACAAGGAAATGAATCACTCATTTTGCTTAATCATTAGAAGGTGGGCTAAAGTTCCCATATCTGCTGTATCCATGGATCTTTACTTGCTACTTACACAGGAAAAATATCATAAATACACTGGGTATGACAACTTTTTAGTAAAGGCCTGAGTAGATCATCTAACTGCTGGTGCTGCAACTTATCTGTTGTGTCTCCTAAATCTATGCTTTGATCATGTCCTGTCATGGGTTGTTTTGTAGAGTGTGTGTATGTTATTATTTGTATTAATTGTGTGCTGGATCATTCTCTAACTTTTATTGCTATGTATGTTCTTTTAAATTATTTGCCAATTTCCTAAGTCTAAAAGACTTGTACCACTAAGCCAAAACAACAGGATTTTGGCCATAGATAGGAGAAATGTAAGACAAGCAGTTACGGAACACCTGAAAAGATTAACATGCTATGTATCTTACTCCTTCAATGGTTGCTCATTGTCCATTTTCTCTACAACCCAAAGCAAATATTTTCAAGTTATATTCACATCTCTCTACATAGAAGATAACATTGTATAGGTTATCTACGTGCCTTCCACCGCCTTGACTTTCTCTTCCATTTCCCGTTTTCTTTCCTCTTTCAGCATCTGTTCTTGCTCTTTTTTCTGAACTGCCAAAAGGATCTGACGCTCTTCTTCTTCGTCTCTCCGTCTCTGCTTCTCCATTCTGCTAAGCACCACTGGAGTTACCTGCAAGACATCAGAGCTATTTAGTAGTTTACTACATGTATATTCTACTTTCATTCTCTTCAAACACCTAAATGGAACTTATTGCAGATAACATTTAAGCTAACTAAAATTTAGTTTAACCAATTATTTACTTTTTATTTTTAAAATCCTGCTGAATTGTTAACTATAATATGAATTCTCTGTGTCTGGCTTCAGTCCAAGTGAATAAAATATTTAAAAATACAGTTAACTGAAACATGTTGTAATATTATATTTATTAAAAAACAAGCTAATAGCTCAGTAAGACGCAAATTTCCAAATTAAAAGGCTTAGCAAAAATATTTTCACCTTTTTCTTAATTACGATAAAGCCCTTCCAGATAACTTGCTGTAAAAGTTCATAATGACAACAGAAAATATGCTCATTTGACCTCTCAATAAATACATTTCCTGTCTAGAATGGCCCATAAACTCATCTTCTTTAGGAGATCTGAATAGCCATCTGTCCATGACTGCTTCCAAAACTGAACAGGCAGCTGCTGTGCTTTGCAGGACTGGCTTTTAAAAAAATTATTTATTACTATTCATACATACAAAACATACAGAACGACAATAATAGGACCTAACAAAGCTAACATTGATAATAAAAAACTAAACTAAAAATTCATGCTACATATATAGATCAGAGATTTCACCATCGTCTGGTCATCTAATATCATCAAAGGGTTCTTGTGAGCACTAATTCTCCATAGCTATTTCTTCCCCTGTTTGTTTCTGGGCCCAGGACTGGCTTGATGTGTTTTGTATCCTTGTTCCTTTCAGAATCTGGGAATCCTGCACTGTGCACTAGATATTGTTTCTGAACAGTTTTTAAATGGAGTCCAGCACAGGGAGCATTATGCTAAGCAATCTTAGAGGCATGGTAGATAGGTACCAGAAGACCTCAAAGATGCTGTAAACTCAAGGAAGTCATGAATGAAACAAAATATGCTCCTCACTATACCCACACTGAGAACACAGAAGCATATTCAAACTATGCATGTTCTCTAAGGGTCCCATATAGTATTAGGAAATATTCATTTTAAAACATATTTTAAAAGTCTAAATATAATTCTTAGTTCCAAACTAAGGCATACAGTACAGTATTCACTGAATTAATGGAGCTTACATCAGAGTTTCCATACTAAGATCCCATTGATATAATTGGTCTGCTCTAATAGGACAAACAACTGGATTGTGCCCAAAGTATATAACAATAAATAAGAAAATGAAGAAAATAAAATGACAGAAAAAAGAATATTTCAATAGAACTTAATATTATAAATGAAACAATTTTTTAAAATTAAAAATACGATTTGGCGCAGATTCATAAAATCTAGTCACTGTGAGGCCTAGTCTTGCTGTGCTGGTAAGGCTTCTATGACAGTATGCTCCTTTCACAGCTATGTATGTGACGGCAGTATTCACTCATGGAAGCCTCCATCTACAGTCCCAAGTGGAATAGGCTGAATAGGTTTACTACCTCAGCAAAAACTGGGCTTTTGCCACAAGGTATTTCCTGAGAAATTAATGATCAGCTTGGGCCTCCTCATCACTCTTTAAGCCTTAGCCATCATTAATCCAGAGAAAAGGCCTGCATTTTAGTCATGGTTGCTTCATTTTTTTAATCTGCTTGCAAACCGGACCTGAGTGGGGCACTGATAAATTGCTAGGAAGACAGGCTAGCTTCTAGCACAGATAGCCTAAGTGCTTTTCTTACTTGTGTTTTAGAAGTGCTATTTAGCCTTTTCCTTCAATAATGCTCCCAAGGAGAACTCTCTGACATCATCTCCCGCTGTGCCATCTATAACAGCTGTGCATTAAGGAATTTACCCTAGGCCTCTGCTCTGTTCTCCTGAAGCACGATATTGCAGTTATACAAGAGTTAACAGAAATATCCCAAGCCTTGGGCTGCTTTCTGAACATTTCAGTTCCTTGCAGAATAAGACAAACAGGACAGAGAAAAGAATACACACATCTGCTCGTCACATCAGAATGCAAGGTGTCCTTTGAGTGTAATACTACCCAAAACAGTATTTGAACTACTAATGCTACAGTACTCAATTAATCAAAAGGAAAGCATCTCAGGAGAATAATTTACAGAGAACAGAAGGAATTACAGAGTGAGAAGACCCTGTAAATTAGTTATTCCTCCACTTCTCTGACCATTTTACATATTAGTCCCTGAAGAATTTATTCACATGGAACATTGCTTGAATGCTTACAATTTTGCCAGGGTAAATATAATCAAAGAAAAGAGTTTAAAATTTTCTGCGTATCTTAACTGGTCTTTATAGGGAATTATTTTCCAGGACTTTAGCTTTTTCAAGATGGTTTGTTTAAAACTTGCCTGTTATCAACAAATAAAGTTTCTAAGTTTGGCTAGGCTGGCAAAAGTCAATGAGGAATCTCTTTACCCTGCAGATCAAATGACACAATGTCTTTAACATGTGATCGAGAGGATCCTATAACTATTTGTCCATATAAAGCATATGTACAATTTAGTCTGCAGCGTTCTTAACTGTTTTTAAAAATATTTTATATACATACACAACTAACATATAAGAATATACTTGTAGTGTAATATACTCAAAGTACCGTATTTTTTGCACCATAAGACACACTTTTTCCCCACAAAACACGGGGGTGGAAAGTCTGTGCGTCTTATGGAGCGAAGAAAACAGATTATATTTTCCTGTTTTCTTCTCCTAAAAAATTGGTGCGTCTTATGGAAAGGTGCGTCTTATAGAGCAAAAAAATACGGTATATTTTATGTTCTATTTGTAAACAAATGTTTGATCTTAACAAGCTAGCAAATAAATATTTCTCTTTATATCCTGCCCTCCACAGCAAGAATCCAGACAGACTAACAATATACATAAATTGATACATCGCGGAAATACCATGAAAACCATATTTCTACAATTTCAGGTGTATGATAAAACCATGAGATAGGATCAGCAATTAAACAGATGATTTGTCTGTTTTCCAAAGGTCTTCACAAATCAACTAGTATCTAACTGAAAACTGCAAGCAGAACAATTTGCTTTCCATTAGGAGAAAGTTCATGAAGTACTGTACATATGTAGAAATATTCAACTGTCTTGAATTTGAATGTTATTACACAATGGACACAACCCAGTGGTGCACTTCTACTGTGTCCCAATGCATTGTTAATCCTCCTGTTTCATACAGCTACATGCAGGAACCCTAGGAAGCTATTCTTTAGGGCCTGGAAAATCTCTTTAGGGCTTGGATGTTTGTCTATAAAATTCACATGCAAAACCTGGGTTTTGTTTTGGGTTTTTCGGCACTATGGAGGGTTTGCAGCAGAGGAGCAGGGAAATCCCCATTCCAACTGTATTGGATACAAGAGAACAGCACACAGAATTCATTTTTTGAGAATCCTGCCAATTGTAAAGTTAGGGTGGACACACTACTAGGATTTTCAGCTTTACTCAAGTATCAGTTGCTTCCTTACTACAGGGCACTGTAGGCTACATAGAACATAGAGGCTATAGGGATTTCTATTCTTTGTCTTTATCCTCTGTTATAGCCCCCACAAAAGATACTTCCTCTGTCCCTAAATGATTAGAACCTATAAAACAGTTACATCAAAGATTTAAACTTTATCTACATATTAGAACTAGGAGGAAAATGTTACGACACATACTTAAAGCAAGAACATTTTGCATGTCCAGCTAAAGTCTTCCCAACTTTCCTACATTATAGGAAAGGTTTGCCTACATTATAGGCAAACCTTTCAAATTAAAGAGAGATGTATTTGCAACTGCAGAAAAACAAAACACTTGGCATTATTTTCTCTGGAAGTGTGAGTATATCCATGACTTGCCTCCAGAACAAATGCAGCCTTCCCTCTAATTGTTGAGTATAAGGAACCCTGACAAGTATTAGCCCACAGGCAACAATTAATCTGTCCTAATGTTCTTTTTAATGTTGATTGTTCTAGAGTAAAGTTGGGGCAATTGTAATGGTAAAAAATTGAGTCTACATCAGGGTCCTGCTCATAGTAGGAAATCTGGGCTTTTTTCAGAATCATTTATAACAAGCCAGCTGATCCAGGACCAAAATTTTTGAAAATAAGCTGTTTATTTTCTACTTGTATTTTCCACTCACCATAGGACCCACTTTAGTACACAGTGGTGCCCCGTTTGACGACAAAATCGCTTTACGATGACTTTTTTGCGATTGCTATAGCGATCACAAAACAATGTTTCTATGGGTTTTTTTCACTTAACGTCAATTCGGTCCCTGCTTCAGGAACCGTTTTTTCGCTAGACGACGATTAGAAATAGCTGACTGGAGGTTCGCAAAATGGCTCCCTGCTGTTTTCCGGACTGATTGTTCGCAAGACAGGGATCCCAAAACAGCTGCCCTATGGAGGATCTACGCTGGATGATGAGGTATTTCCCCCACTGGAACGCACTGATCGGTTTTCAGTGTATTCCAATGGGGTTTTTCCGCTTGACGACGATTTCGCTTAACAGCTATTTTCCTGGAACGAATTATCGTTGTCAAGTGGGGCACCACTCTAATTCTCTTAAAAAAACAAAAAACTCAATTTTAAAATTTCATATAAAAAAGAAAATTTCATATGAGGACTCATTGCTAGAATCCTGCTGTTGTTGTTGTTTAGTCGTGTCTGACTCTTTGTGACCCCATGGACCAGAGCACACCAGGCCCTCCTGTCCTATTGGTGTTTGAATAAGTTTTGCCTAATAATAATAAGAGACTGTATGGATCATCGCACCCAGGTGATCAAGAAGGCACAGTGGGAAATGTAACTCCAAACCTCTGGCTCCACAGCCAGATGCCTGAAACACTGAGCTATCCAGCAGTTCATCTGGTGCAGCTAATTGTAGCATACTGACAAAGTGCCAGTTTGTGTGTCTCAGTTTTATGACCTGTCAAACACATGATTATACAGCTCAGAGCCATCTCAGTACAGTGGTGCCTTGACTTACGAACTTAATTGGTTCTGGAACTCCAGTGGTAACTCAAAATGGTCGTTAAGTCAAAGCACCATTTCCCATAGGAATGCATTGAAATGCAATTAATCCGTTCTGGTCGAAGGAAAAAATCACGATGCAAAACCCACCCAGGACAGTTTTTAAAAAGCAGAAAGCAGCACCTTACCTTATCAGACAGTCCGAAGCTTCCCCTAATCACACTCACTCTAACTGCTGGGGCGTAAGAGCTACAAAGAAGCAGCCTCTTCGCCTACCAACGGTTAGCAATTTGAATTTCCCGCCTTTTCCCCTTCCTTTTTCTGTTTGTAACTGGAAGCTCCAGCCGCAAGTCAAAGCAAAATTTTGCGGCCAGAGCTGGTAGTAACTGGAAATGGTTGTATGTTGGGATGCTCGTAAGTCGAGGCCCCGCTGTACTTAATCATTAGCTGCAGCAAGTTACACAGATCTGGAAAAGCTGCACTCTTCCCCCAAAACAGCTGCAAAGCTTTACAATATGCTCCTGCTGGAGCCTTGAGATCATCAAATGTCCTTTTCAAGTGAGTTCTGATAAGAGTATAATACAGAAAAGGATTCTTTATATATATAGTGGCTCTTCACCAGTAGAAGTTGCCTGTTATAATAGCTTTTTGGTGCTAGTCATCTCTTATTTTCCCTAAAAAGTTAAAGCATTTCCCCTATGTAGTTCTATGGGTTTTCGAGCCACTTTCTCTGTTTGCTTATGGTATGTAATGAGTTTTCATCTATTTGCTATATTTCATAACTTTTAAAACTATGAAATAATTTTAATATTATTTTATGTTTTATTCTGTCAGCTGCACAGAGATTTCTTTTTCAGAGCAGCATATAAATAGCATGAAGTAAAAATACATGCCAGGCACTTCCATTCTCAGGAGGCTTCTTACCTCTTGCTGGACTGACTTGATGTGCTGATGATCAGACATCCATCTGGGAGAAAACTCCATCCGTTGTAGACGTTTCTCCTAAAACATTAGTCAAGCAGTCAGTTACAAAAACCACTTTGTTATGGGAACCCATTATTTATTATTAATAATATTTTTGTTATATGTCCTCAACAAATAACTGAAAGTTGTAATTATTTTCTCATTTATCCTCCATGAAAATATGGTATTTTAAAAAAGAAACAATTATACCAAGTACTCAAAGAATAGGCCTGACTATTGAATTCCTAGGGCTGATTTTTAAAACAACAAAGAACATTTCTTGTACAAGTGATGTGTTATTGTCTAGACTCACAATCAGGCCATGGGTCTTGGTTCGCTCTACTAAGTGGTTCCTATTATCTGTTGTAAAATGACAAAGAACAGGAATGCTAAAAGCATAGGTTCCAAAATGCTGAGAAGACAGGCAAAGCTCATCCAAATTCGTCCCACAGAGCCCAGATGGTCAAAAAGGACTGGATTACTATACAATTCAACCTTCTGTCACAAGATGGGACTATTCACCTACCTATCCATGACACCCTCTGTCATCCGTCATAATCTAAAATAGAGCATATATATATGATCCAAGGGACTAGAGGAAAATGTGCCCCCTTCCCTAGATCACTGACAAGGTGAATGGTCCATGGAGGCAAGAAATATCTATCTACTAAGAAATTCCCAAGAAAAATATTTTTAGGTCCATCTTTTATTCCCATCTCTATGTTTACTTTTCTCTGTAATGACCACTTCTGGTGGTTACCAATAAAAACAGAATGGTCCTTGTGTAATAAGTATCATACTTCATTTTGTTAACATATCTCAAAAATTCTTTCAGAGCCAAAATGCTTAGCCTTCATTTATGCTACATCAGATATGTGGATTTAACCATGTAACAAGGAAACACTTTAAATCTTTGTATTTGAAGTTTTTTGGAGAAAAGCTGGAATATATATTGGTAGTATACATAGATGACTCAGAATGTCAAGGAGTCAGCGTGAATGACTCAGATATCCAATATATAGCTCCTGTTTCTTAGCATAGTCCTGCTTCCTGTTACCTATATAACCTTCTCTCTTCTGTTCCATTTATCTGCATGCATATGCACACAAACAGACATACATATAAAAAGAAAGATCAAATATATTTGTCAAATGTTGGAAAGGCTTGCAGATGTGTTGGAAATTAGTATTATTTGGATAATTTATTCTAACAAAACTGTTTCAGTCCTCTGGTCAACAGAATATGAGCATGTAATTTTTTCTTCTTCACACAACCACAGACATATATATGGCTGTACTCAATACTTAGGACTGCCTCAAATGACTCAAACAATGTGTCTCACCTTTTGTGCAATCATGTTGCAAATCTCTGGAAGGAAGTCTTCACTTAAGAGCTTGTAGAGCTGTCTCTCTCGTAAAGATGGTCTCTCTCGAAAGCTCTCTGTGACCTGCTTCCATTCGTCTTCCGTCTGACACAACAGCCACCAAGTTCCATGCCCAGGTCCTTGAGAACCTTCCACAAATAAATCATCTATATCTTAGAACTGCAGAGCTGGAAACGACCCTATCATCTGTCTGTCTGTCTGATTTATACCCCGTCCATCTAGACCAAAGTCTACTATGGTGGCTAACAATAAGACATAAAAGTAACATAATAAAATGACCCTATGGATCACAGAATCCACTTGTGAAGGAGGCACAGTGGGGAAACGAAGTCCCAGTCTCTGGCTCCACAGCTAGATACCTCAACTATTGAGCTAAAATTTATTATCATTAAATCTCTAAAGCAGAAGTGGGGAACATGGGATGAATTTAACACAAAGTTCTCTAAACATTTACTTCAATGGTATTTTATACCTTTTAGAATTAAGAAATGATATAACGTTAGTCATGACCGAGTAAGCTATCTAAACTATATAAACTTACTCATGACAAGACAGAAATCTCATTGTTAGGCGGAGTCCCTGAAAGGTAGGGATGGTTTTATGCCTGGTCTGGACAGGATTACACTCCTAAAGGATCAGGTCCACAATTTGGGTGTGCTTTTGGACCATTGTTTATGGAGAAGTAGATCTTGGCCATAGCCAGGTCTGCCTTTTGTTAACTTGGGCAGATTGCACATCTGTGGTCCCACCTTGACAGGAAATCTCTGATAACAATAATTTATGTATTTGCGAAGGCTTTCATGGCCGGGATCTAATGATTGTTGTGGGTTTTTCGGGCTCTTTGGCCGTGTTCTGAAGGTTGTTCTTCCTAACGTTTCGCCAGTCTCTGTGGCCGGCATCTATAGAGGACACAAATACAATCATATTTCCCCAGCCCTGGCTTGTTTGCACTGGTTGCTTGTTTACTTCCATGCCAAATTCAAGGTTTTAATGTTGACATACAAAGCCCTTAACAGTCTGGGAGCCTCCTACCTGTTGGAATGTCTATCCCTGAAATCTACCATCTACCACCTGTTCCACCCACACTTCCCAAGCTCCAATGATGATGCGAGTGGCCACCCAGAGGAACGCTAGGAAGTCTACAACTAGGAACCAGGCGTTCTCAGTAGTAGTCACTTCATTATGGAATGCTTTACTAGTAGAGGTATGCCAAGCTACTTCCTTCCCAATGTTCAGAAAGTATTTTAAAACAGTGCTTTTTATATGTCACCGTCTTGGGATCAGTGGGAGTCCTTTTTATACTTCTGTGGATTGGGTGTATGGTGGGGTATTACTCTTTATTGCTTAAATGTGTTGGAAACTGTCCAGAGTAGTGGTGTGCCACTAGATGGCACAGTATACAAGTTTAATAAATAAATAAATTAAAATTTAAATAAATTATTGATCCTGAGATCAAGGTATTGATTATCTGCACATTTTGTAACAATGAGTTAAAACTAAATCACTATGGACCTTCATTCTGTACCATATTAAGATGATAACATAGCATAAAATATTAAAGAATCCATAAAGACTGATTATTCAGAAGACCACATGGAAATGTCCTATGTAGAGATGATTATTAAATTGCCGAAAGTCAAAATAATTGTTATTGTATGATATTGCTGTTATGATATTAACTTACATAAGTTCAAGAGAGAAATGCTGAATACGGATATTTTGGTGCATTTTTTAAAATTTTGAAATGACAGATTTCATGACAACATTCACCATAACATTATTTCATTGGTTTACACACTGCATTTGTTTTTGCATTACTACTATTCGGTATCATTGCCATTATTTTTTTAATTCCCTTAATTAAAAAGTAATAAAAAAGGGAATTAGACATCTTAAGAGATGAGTGGTCATTAGTCATAATGGCTACATGCTTTCAAAATCACTAACTGTTGGGCAACCTGAGTGAGACAGGGCTGTTGCTTTCAATAAATTCTTTTGACTTACAGAAGCATCTAGCTGTGGAAAATCCTATGCTACAGTAGATGGAGCTTTGGTGTGATCCAGAAGCTGACTTCTTATGTTCTTAGCCCCTGTACACACTGAAATCCTGATCCTAATTCCCACCCTAAGCTGCTGTTATTCAGAAGAAAAGATTAATCATATAAAATCTAAGAACATCTCTAAATATGTTTAGTTTGGGCCTAGGATACTGGACTGATACTACACACCATTCACACAGTGAGTGAGATTAGGTTTAGAATACTAAAAACCATAGTGTTCTCATAGGAATGATTAATTAGTATTTATACACAAGGCTAATAGTCAAAGGGAAAATGTTAGTACAGTATCATTGAGGATCTGGGGAATTTCTCATTTCCTGGGAAAAGGATGTCCCAGGAAACAGCATGCCTCCAAATACATCTCTGTAATGATGTACTACAGAGATTTAGAAGGAGATTCCTCTCTCTAAACAAAACAAAAACATCAAACCCATCCCAGTTCAACCTCCAAAGATCTGGAAGCCTTAACTTAGTGGAGAGATAGTATGGAAGGAATGAGCAAAGTGAATGCAGTGTCTTCTAGTAAGATCAGCCAGGGTGTCCACTGACAGAGAAAATAAGAGTCAGAAAAGAAGAGTCACCATCAGAAACGGCAGAGTTTTCTTAATCTTGATGTGGCATGAAGAGGCAAGACAAACACATCAAAAGAAAATCTTGTATGGTTTTCTATGACTGAAATAATGCTAATACAGTACTATGACACTACAGAAGAGGAGTATCTCCTGATGTAACTCAGGCAAATAGTTTATACTCAAATTCACCTGCCATTCCCTTAGTGGTGGAAACTGACCATTATGATGCATATTTTTTAATTCCTTATCTCTTTAAAATAATTTTTAAAAAAAAGAGTATCAAGAAGGGCTCCATTCTGAGAAGAAGTAGTTGTTTACCTGTAATTGTGGTTCTTCAAGTGGTGATGTGTACATTCACATATTTAGGTTTTGACCTGTGCATGGGCGGTGACCTCAGAGATCCCTAGAGCCAAAGCAAAAGCACTTCTTGGTGGTAGGCCTGCCCGGTCACCTGCCGGTATAAATAACCAGTGCTTCCACCAGTCTCAATTCCAGAAGGCCAATGTGATAGTAGTTTGATAACTAAGAACTTCTGGTGAACCTAGAGAAGCAGAGGATGGAGATGTGTGAATGCATGGAAGACCACTGAAAGAACCATGGTTACAGATCAGCAACTTGTTCTTCTTTGTTGTGGTCTCTGTGCATCATACACCTGGGAAATTAGCAAGCTCATTTACCAGAAAGAGGGTGTCACTAGAGAGACACCCCAAAGTCTATGGATCCAAAACAATGGCTCCTGCCAAGCTTGTACAGGGCTGTAACCAGGTAGTGGCTCTGCAAATTGTGTCAAAGTGAGCTTGGACACCCTGCAGAAATTGGATGGCTGCCAGGTCATATGCCAGGTGAATGGCTGGCACTATCCACTTGTAGAACCATTGAGGAGAAATGGGCTTGCCCTTGCATGAGTTGGCATATGCCACAAACAATTGAGAGATTCACTGGAAGGACTGTAGAAGGGGTGGCCATGTTAATCTGTGCAAGCATTAAAGGCAAAAGCAAAACAGAAAAAAAGTTAAAAAAAAAGACAAAAACACAGTGGCATCTTAAAGGCTAACTTTTATATTTCCTAATGTGAGCCTTCATGGACAAGTCCATTTCATCAGACTTAAAAGAGAATTATACATGGCATCAAACCATAGATATCAAAATACAGTTAGGGGTTGGTTGGTAAGAAAATCAATGGGTGTAACACTGCTGATAGTGCTGGCAGGTGCAGGTAGCGAAATCCTTTGAGGAACATATTGAGCAGTGGCACATGGAACCATGAGTGGCCAGAGGCTCGTAGGCAGAGATAGCTGAGAGGGAGGCAAGCAAATGGTTCTGTGATGTCTGTTGGACAAGAAAGGAAAGGAGAACTAATGTGGGTGGCCTGAAGGGCTAATTGTCTGTTTCTAAGGAACAAAAGGAATTCTGCTCTCAGGACCACTGCCACACCTAGAGAGAGTGATGTAGAGAGTGATATACCGGGCTATCAGTTAAAAAGTGGGAAGATCCAGGTGCCTAATTGATCCATGGGCCTGTGTGAGCAGATTTGGTGTCTGAGAAAGACAGAGAAATAAAGGACAGGACAGCTGAAGTAGAATGGGGGGAAATAGTTTCCTGGGCTGCCACAGGGTAATCAGTATACAGTGTGCCTGGTCTGCATGGAGTTTCCCATGGACTTGGATGATGATTGGTATGGTGGGAAATGTATACAGCAGCAGTCCATTCTGTGAAAACAGAAAGGTGCCCCTATAGGGTACTGGAGCAGGTCAGTGATATACCACAGAATGGGGCATACTAAGCATTCAATGGGGAAGCAAAGGGTCTATGGATGGGGCACTCCAGTAATAAAAGAGTTGGGAAAGCTGCCATTCAACCACAGATAACAATCTGGAGTACCCATGTGTCTGAGGTTATGGTTGCCCTTATGACTAGGGAGAGTGTTATGTGGTCTGTAAAATGGTGAGAAGGTAATCAACAATGCTTTTTGACATTCAATAGTTGGTACTTGGAAAATTGTGTTGTAGGTTCCACCGTTAAAGAGGCAAAAGTTGTAATGTTGGAAGGTGGGAGTAAAGGTGTGCAGTTGCTAATAAAAAGAAGGCACTGGCTAATGGTCTCCAGAATCAAGATGATTGAGATTTAGTATATTGTTAAGGGGACCTAATTATGTCTATCTTTTTCACTCCTCCCATATCTTCTGGCTGTGGTCTAGCTCTAGCTGTATCTGTATGGCACAGTCCATAGTGAAATATCAGAAGAATGAAGGCAGGCATGGAAACAGAGGGTGACCACTGACACTACAGCCTTAGCTTCACAATTGGCCAGATGGCAAGCAGTGGAGATCTGCTGGCCAGCAAGATGGTGGGACTCAGTATAGATAGAAGATATATCTGGTACAATGGTGATAATTACCCTTCTCTATCAGTTTTCTCTGAATAATCCTGAGCATTCTTTACAATGATCAAGGTCTGAAAAGAAAGGAGCGGTCCTGCTACATAGAGGATTCTATGCAATAGAGATTCTCAATCTTCCTGGAACTTGTGATGACAGAAGACAGAGTGCACCATGACTGGAAAGTGATGTGAAGAAGAGATGGAAGAACTGATACTGCCACAGGTAGCTGGGCTTTGTACTGGACTCTTTTGAAAAAAGTCTGTAGTGGTGTCAGATGCAGCTGAGAGTGGTTCTGATCTGCTACTAGGGCATCTAGAGAATGGAGGAGTGGTTAGAGGATCAGAATGAAATAGAGGCATAGTCTCCCTTGCCATTGTCCAAGGAGGAATTGGTTGGAAAAGCAGAAGAGAGAATCCTCTAGCAGAGAACTCCAGAAGCTGGACATCTGCATCCAGCACAGAGGAGGGCTCGGAAGCAGAAGAGCTGCCAGTATCTGGTTTAATGTCAAAGATGGAAGCAGTACCAACATAGCCATGGACTCTGTTGGTGTTGAGACAGAGGCTTTAGTGTGCCTTTGGAAAGCCTCTGGTGGATCAAGGAGGAAGAAGGAACAGAAGTTAATTTGTCTCATTTGTGCTTCTTCTTCTTGTGGACTGGTGATTGAGAGTGAGCATGTTTGGAAGGGTGGCATGTTGATGAATGTGATGCCAGAGACTGAAGGAGGAGACCAAGAACAAATCAGAGGCAGTTGAGATGCTTGAGACTGAGCTGCCTGATCCAATGCCTCTAGAGCTTTTTCCCATGACAACGCTTGGAGACGCAGCTGAAAATTGTGAATTGCAGGCTTACAAACATTTGGCAGCGACAGCCCTTTTCAAATATATGGCCTTCACCCAAGCAGAAGACACACTTAAGACTGGCCATAGGTGTGAGGAATTTTGCTACTGTATTGAGTGCATTTCATGGAATCATAGAATCGTATCACAGAAAAGTGAAGTTGGAAGCGGCCTACAAAGCCATCAAGTCCAACTCCCTGCTCAATACAGGAATACAATCAAAGCATATCTGCCAGGCAATTATCTAATTTTTTATTGAATGCCTCCAGTTGTGGAACACTCACTAGCTCACAAGGTAACTGGTTCCACTGTTGTACTGCTCTGACAGTTAGGACGTTTTTCCTGATATTCAACCGAAATCTGGTTTCCTTTAACTTCAGCCTATTGTTACGTGTCCTGCACTCTGGGATAATCGAGAACAGAACCTGTCCCTCCTCTGTATGACAGCCTTTCAAATGTCTGAAAAGTGCTATTACATCACCCCTCAGTCTTTTTTTCCCCTCACGGCTAAACAGACCCAATTCTTTCAGCCTTTCCTCATCAGACTTGGTTTCCAGCCTCAATCATCCTTGTCGCTCTCCTCCGAACTTGTTCCAATTTGTTAGCATCCTCCTTGAAGTGTGGTGTACAGAACTGGACACAATACTCAAGGTGAGGCCTAACCGATGCTGAATAGAGGGGGATTAGCACCTCGCGGGATTTGGAAACTATACTTCTATTAATGCAGCCTAAAATAGCATTAGCCTTTTTTGTAGCCACATCAGACTGTTGGCTCATATTCAGCTTGTGATCTACGGCACTTCCAAGATCCTTCTCACTCATAGTTTTGGTGAATCACCTTCTTATAAAAGGTCACCATGAGGCATGAAGTCAAAGTTGAAGCAAGCTGAGTTAACTGGAAAGAAAAGATGGTGCCTGTCCAGAGGAATAGTTGCAGTAGGATAGCCAAGTTGTAACCATAGGAATCAATGCTCGAGAAATCTGTTTGCACTTGTGTTTTGCTTTAGCTCTAGGAATCTCCATAGATGTAGGATGGATACAGACCATGTCAAAGAAACTGGATTTTTAAATTAACAAGGTTTAAACAAGTACAGTTCATAATTGTCTCTTACCATTTCTCAGATGTGTCTCATGAGCAAGTGCATTCTCTTCTGCCTTTTCTCTACAAGTAAAAAGAAAGTATTATTAAAACATAACATAAAGCAAATCTAAATTGAAACATATGCTCACTGCTAGAATGAAAGCTACTACCACAAAAGTGTCACAATTGCTGTGGACTGCATTATAACACCTGAAGACCAGCTGCAAGTTAGAATTTGCCCCTCAGAGTCGTCAGTGAAAAGAGAGAGCTTCTGGACTGTAAATCTGTATCTGTAAATCTGATGAGGAAACAAATTGGGCTTGGTGTAGTCAATGCTGAAAATGAGGAAGGGAAAATGGAAGTGCTATTAATGAAATCTAATCTCCTGACTCTGCCAGTTTTAAGCAAATAATGCCTCCCACTGAATTCTAAATACAGTACAAAAAAAAAGGGAAAAAAAGAGCTGGGCTCTTTTTGTCCCTCAGAATTCAAGCAATGAACAGAACCGTTATTGGTCAAAGAAGCTGATGTAGCAATCTTCTCCCATGACTCTTCTCCCATGACCATATGCTTCATTTCTACTATGCTACATTCCACATTTTTTGAAAGTGCAAGTTTACAGTAAAAATGTATGTATAAATAAAGGGTGTTTATACAAGTTAGCATAATTTATCCACCACTATATTTTGGTCCAATCCAGATAAACTCATCTTTGAACCAGGTAAATACATGCAACAGTTCTAGAAATGTTGCAAATTTAAGATGTAAAAGCATGACAACATAAAAGACAGTGATGTTGTAAAGGCCAATTAGTGCCATTTTGAAGCAAAGAATGTGCTTCATGAGCTGCAAAGCCACAAGCATTATATAAATAAACACACACACACAAACAAATGTATACTAAAGCATAAACCAAATTAACAAATGAATTCCACTGCGATTCTGTATCCACTCTCAAAACACCTTGCCAGATAAATACCATAGTACACGTTATCTAAAGCTGCTGAGAAATCCAGGAAAAGGGTTGCATTCCCCCAGCCCTTCTCCTGTTGTAGGTCATCCATAAAGACAGTTTCTGTGCAAATTCAGGCATAAAGCCAGACTGAAATGAAACTGAAAACAATCCATTTCATCCAAGAGTTATTGAAGTTGCACAGCAATCATCCACATATGCCTATTCCCAAGACAGGAATACTTGGAATTATCCGACTTTCAACCACCCTCCAGAAATGGCTTCACAACATGAATTTCATTTATTACCAAGATATATATACCTTCACTTTTTAATACACACGGATTACTCAAGGCGATTTACACTAATTAAAATCACAACAGTAAAATACAGAAACAATAAATACATAACAGGCAGACATGGAAGATAAAATACAGTGTTCAATAAAATCACTTCAACTTTGCAAATTAAAAGCTTGATGACATAAAAGCATATTTACAAGCTTAGCAGAAGGCACTCAAAGATAAGTTCATTAAACCTCATGGGCCAAACTGTTAACACAATACTGGTGGGGCTGCTGGAAAAGTCCTATCCCTTTTCTCAAACAAATATGGTTTCAGGATGGATGTAACACAGAGAAAGGGCTTTCCTATCTGATCTCAATGAGTAGGTAGGCAGATGGGGAGGATGCAGTTTCTAGCACCGTAAACATAAGCCACTTACAGAGCAGCACTTTGAAGTGGGTTCAGAAATGGCTTGCTTGTGACTGTAGGTATTACAGGATAGGAGAAAGATGAGTTAGTAGTCATTCTTAGTAGTGAGGTTTGGTCCAATGGAAGTTTCTGAACATTCTTGAAAGGTATGCAGAACATTATGCATTAATGCAATCAAGATGTAACTAAGGTATAAGTTTACTGTACCTAGATCTGGCTTCTTGGGGAATTGACAAGAATTGTGCACTATGCTAAACAGGGCAAAGACAGTCTTGGCTACAGCTGCAGCCTGGACATAAAGAGCAGACTATTCTGATTCTTTTAAGAGCCACAGTACTACTGAGGCCAAACAAGCCAATTCCTGAGAGTCAATTTCCTTCCTGATAAAAGCTATATCTGTCTTGTCTGGATTAACGTTCATATTTGTTAACCCTCATCCAGCCCACCTTGGTTTTTAAAAGATCAAATGATTAAAAGATAAACTCTTTCCTTTGTTTGATGCAAATGATAAACTGAAGACAATGCATTTCAAATCTCAGTGTCTACATAAAAATTGAACATGGGATTTAAAAGCTTTCCCTTTGGGGCACAATATGTGATCCTGAATTAAGACATGTGTGTACACTGATGTCCATGTGCAGTCCTCACTCCCTTGCCAAACAATGGACATGGATCTTGCAGCTCAGAATTTGTGCTTCTCTGCCACAAATCCATAGTCGTTGTGTCAAACTGGAATCTCCAACTAATCCTGAAGAAAGGTCCAACGCCCATGTGGAGCTATGTTTTCTAGGCCTTCCTTTCCAGGAAGTGTTAACTGGAATTATCTTGTTCCCAAAATCAAAAATTTATCTGACCGCTTTATCTCACAACAAATATTTGAAAGTGCAACAATGACAGAGAAGTATCCTTTCTACTCCATCACTGAGAAAACTGTAAGTTCATGCCTGTGTCTGGTCATGTTTGCATTAAGACTTCTGTCACCAGTCATTTCCCACCCTGTTTCACTGTCCTAAGCTCCTTGAAAATTCAATAATGGATTCTGGTGAAGTAAAAAGGGTGCTTGAGAGTAATCATGCCTATGAATAGAGCAATTTCTATATCCTGTTGAGCCAAGTTCATCATGCCTATGAATAGAGCAATTTCTATATCCTGTTGAGCAGCCTTCCTCAACCTAGATCCCTCAAGATGTTTTGGACTATAAATCCCATCATTTCTAGTCAGTAGCCATGCTGACTTGACAAACAGGACTTGCAGTTTACCATCTGGAGGACTCCAATTTGGGGGAAACTGCCACACCCTGACTGGAGTTCAGGGTGGATAAAGATAAATGATTTTTTAAAAGTCAAATTGATTTAAATCATGATTTGATTTAAACCATATTCACCCCGCTGGAATTGCAGCATAAGAGCTAGCCATGGCACTTGCCAAATTCCCTGGTTGCAATATGAAATCTTTCACTTCTATGACACGATTCAACAAAGCAAGTCTTTGATCATCTATAAGTGCATTTATATCTCAATGAAACCAAATGTATCAATTAAATTTAAGCGCAATTATTAAGTATAACTTAATTATTCTGCATGCAATCCACTTTCTTGTGAGGCTAATGCTGCCAATTATGGACTGATAACTGAAGCATACCATTCACAGTAACCTTAGGACACACTTATAAATTTCCTTAATTTACTCTCATGGGAGTTTACATGTGTCAAGTAAATAATATTAATGCCACTGGTGTCATTTGGAAATGAAAATTGTGTCATTACTAGTTTCTTTCTTGCAGAATCTGAGCTTACTGTAAAAATCTCACATTATACACAGTTTGAGTATGTTTTATTGGTACACTTGGGATAGTCAAAGTACTGTATAACAAACGCAGCAAGAATTATATCACTGCCTAACTGAAGAGGTTCAATTGTAATTCAAGTGACATATAACATGCTACATGTTCAGTGCTTTTTGTGGTCATCCCTTACTGTCCTTGCTGTTCACTTTTCACAGCCCCATCCATTATCAGTTACCAGTGTCAAAATTTACATTGTATATACTATACACAGATAACACTACATAAATTTTTGCATTTTGTTACTGAAGTATATCAGCTTAATATGCCAAACATATTTACCTCAAGAGATTTTCTTCAAGCAATTTTTTTCGTTTGGGAGGTCGTCCTCGTCTTTTTACTATTTTTCCTGGAACGTTTGGAGTGCTTGTCTGTGAGCCAAATCCCCTGGAACACATTGAAAAGTTACAGAACAGCTACAGACAACGACAGCAACAGTTGGCAAGGGCAAGAAAGTAAGGAGAGACCATTGACAGCAAGAAATGTTGGAACAGCTGCTATGATCCAAGTTAGAAGGGATTATCTCCAAGGAGGACAACAGCAGAAGAAAGGGCACATCCACTTGGTAGATAATAAATTCTACAGCAAATACAACTTCTTGTTATCGTAAAAGATATGCTCCCTGAAAGCTGGGATATGTGAACTCTCCTGCCTAAAATGGCAAAGTTCTTCAGTACCACAAAAGGTTTGTACTTGGCTTTATCTGGTCCTATACAAGAATAACCCTGGTGACTAGAGCTGAACTTGGCACCTGGAAAATATGGGTTCAGATTCCATCTCTGTTGTATGATCTTGAGATAAACACAAGAGCTTCGTGGCACAGTTGTTAAAATGCCGTACTGCAGCCAAAACTGTGCTCATGACCTGAGGCTCAATCCCGGGTAGCTGGCTCAAGGTTGACTCAGCCTTCTATCCTTCTGAGGTAGGTAAAATGAATATCCAGCTCGTTTGGGGGGTGGGGGGATGTGTAGCCTGCATAATTAACTTGGAAACCATCTAGGGAGTGCTTAAAGCGCTATGGGGTGGTATATAAGCAGCACACTTTCCTTTGCTTTTTCAGCTTCAGTTTTCAAGCTAAAATAAGGGAATAATAATGGCCTAAATTACAGGACTGTAGTGAAGATAAAAACATTCTGCATATCATAATGATATATTAGCAATAAGAATGACTGGGAGATTAATATGCTTGTCAGTCTTATGGTATTTGCAAGGACATTCCAATGGCAGTTCTACTTGCATTCTTATCCATTATTTTCTTTCTGACAACGAGAAGTTTGTACCTGTCTGAAGAAAGCTCTCCATTTGGTTTGATGGGTTCCTCTTTGTACATTCGTGTGCCATAAAAATACCAGTAGATTGCACCATTGCTATCCTCTCCCAATGGCTCGACCCGGAGGCTATCTGCATCCAAGCCCTGCATTTGGAAGTGCGCGTGCACACACACACACAAACATGAAGACAACAATTAAAAAACAGCAATCAATGCTTGCCCCCAATGTCACTCAGAGTATAAGATTGTCCAAGCTGTGGAAAGACAATAATAAGACTGAAAGAGTAAGTTGCCCTTTGTATGTTGAACTGAAGTTTCTTATGGTCATGTTCTTTACAATTTGACATGGTATTTGTGGGAATTCTGACAAAGACAGACAAACAGCTCTAAGTAGCTTAACGCACAGCATCAGGTAAGCAATGTAGATTTGCAGTGTTCAACCCATACATACTATATGTATTGGTCCAGCATTTTTCTTCTGTTTCTTGATATTTCAGCAACATGTCTTGTACCCATCTTAGACCCTTGTCTGCATAGTGTCGAGCAGCTATAAATATTCAACCTTCTACCTGCAAAAGGGAGTCAACTGTGCCAATTTACACTGATATTTATATGCCATAAATATGCTTATTTATTTATTATCATTTTTAGCCTTCCTTTTTCTCAGTGAGGGGCCTATGGCGGCATCTTGTCTGGATCAAGTTTCAACTAGTTTGTTCTCATCCAGTCCATTAACGACTACAAACACTGGTTTAGAACAAGAACAGCTTCCTTGTTAGGTGGGAGACAGAGTGGGGTGACATCCACATACAGGTGACACCAGATTCCAAAACTCCAGACAACATCTCCAGTGCTTTCATGTACAGATCAAATAGCATAATGTACAAAACAGAACTCTGCAAGACAGCAGAGGTCAGCAGCCAAAACATCAAACAAGATTCCCACAACACTATGTTTTGAGATTGCTCCTTCAAGAAGGACTAGAGTCACTGTAAAATAGTGCCTCCAAGTTCCATTCTAGAGAGACAGTACAGAAGGATACCATGGTCAAAGGTATCACTGAGAGGTTCAGCAGAACCAACAGGGACATACTCCCTCTTGTCCAGTTCTCAATGTAGGTCATCCATCAAGATAACCAAAACTGTCTCCATCCAATGACCAGCCCTGAAGCCAAACTGAAATGAATCCAGATAGTCCATTTTATCCATGAAACCCTGGAGCCAGTTCTTGCTCCAACACCTTGTCCATAAATAGAATACTGGATACAAAGCAATCATTCTCTAGTATTACTGCATTCAATAATGGCTTTTTCAGCAGCAGTCTCACTATTTCTCCTTTTAAGCATTCTGGAATTCCCACCTTGCTGCAAGGAGCCATTTGACATTTTACTCACCCATCCAGTCACTCTCTACCCTGTTTCCCTGAAAATAAACCCTAGTATGATTTTTCTGGATGCTTGTAATATAAGCCGTACCCCAAAAATAAGCCCCAATTAAGTGAAACCCCATCCTCCACCATTGTGCACCATTGTGCAGCAACCAGAAGAAGATGACATGACTGTATTTGAATAAATGTAAATTGTTCTACATGAAAAAAATCCCCTGAAAATAAGCCCTAATGTGTTTTTGGAGCAAAAATTAATGTAAGACCCTGCCTTATTTTTGGGGAAACACAGTAGCTGAGCAAGAAGTCAAGCATCCAGACATAAGTGTTGGTCCTCACATCTCCAAGAATCCTAACCACATTCTCAGATTGCACAAACTGAAACCTATCCATTAACACAGAATAAGCAGGGCCCAAAGTTACATCCACAGAACCTGATCAACTACAGCAACCAGAGCAGATCCAAGCAACTTTGTCTGCAAAGTGCAGTGCAACTATACCACAATAAGCTAAGAAAAAGGCAAAGTAAAGCTTACTAAGACCTAACCCAAACTAGCAAGCAGCAGGTGACAATTCCGTTATAAGGTTTTTCAAATTGATTCTTTTAGCAGGAATCTTCGATAAGTATTTCTGTGGTTGTGACAGTTGACTAATTCATTTACTAGTTGTCTGAAGCATCAGATTACTTGATGTAAACCAAGTTTAATTACAACTGTAACTAGTTCCTGTGAATGACAGAGCACACCACTACAGCTTTCATTTATCTTCCAAATACAGTCTGAATTCAGCTACTGTGAGACAGTAAACAGATAATACAGCAAAGGGGCCGTGTACAATCAGCACCAAAAATATCAAGACAACAAAATACTTTTCATAAAATACAATGTCACCTTACATTGGTTTTGATAATACTAATACATCTCAAGGGCAACATTTAGTACTTTGTGCGCCAATAACACTTAAAACTCTTTAGCCCATTTTAACTGGCTACACTTAGCTGTAATGATAATTAGTAACAAAGATGATGGCATACATAAGAATGCTTTTCTGTGACTATATGAATATATTAATGTCTGGCTACTAAAACAGTAAGGGAACAGCAACAAGCCTTCTAATATCAGGCCAGACTGCTACTCGCATCATTCATAATGATCAACAAACATGTTAAGATATTAGTTTTGAAAAGCATAAAAAAGAAACAATGGAACTAAAAGAATACTCAGAAAGGTAGATATATCTATAAAAATATGAACAGAGGGAAAAAAATTAAAATTTTAAAAAATTTAAAATAAGAACCTGTCTTATTTTTAGGGAAACATAGTACCTTTAAATGAGTTTAGTTGCACAAAGTGTGATGGCACATTGCTCAGAGTACAATATAATGGCTGAAAACCAGTAGTAAATTGCAATGAGACTAAGGCTGTTGTATCAATGGAACTTGTAGCACCCGATTCACCAAATCCCGATTTATTCAATCGGCCTACACTGGTTGCTACTTACTACTAGATTTCAGTAGGTAGCCTCAAAATAGCACATCATTCTGGATAGAAAATGACATACATGTTGTTTATCCAATATCTGCCATCATCCAACATACCTTGAGCAGATCGAACACATCATCAGCATCAAGACGGTAATCACAAAGGCGGTGCAGTATCTCCACACGGGTGCGCAAGGGCAATTCCTGGAAAGTAGATTCCCTCAAGGGGTTGGGCTTCCCTTCCTCCAGTTCCCAGCGATAGTTGATGATATCTTCAAGGTAGCCATGAAATGTCTGTGCTCTGATGAAAAGAAGTGCCCACAAAGTTACACAAACTGAAACAAATAGCTAACAGTATCTGATGCCATGAAGGTGACGCCCTCACCAACACTTTTCAGAATTTAATGATGAGCATGAAAACTGTGTTTAATTAGTGACAGGGAAGTGAGTCAGAGGATTAGCTAACAAGTTTTTCCAAAGAAAAGTTAGCTGAATGATCTCCAGTGAGGCTTATACAAGAAAACATTGTCAGAACTGGTAATCTAGACACACTACAGAGCTTTAGAAATTTTTTACTAGCCATGCTGGCTGGTAGCATCTGGGAGTGGTAGTTCAAAATGCAACTTTTTAAAGATCTACGTAAGTCATATTGCTTACTCATATCCAGGAAAAGCTGTTGTTAACTGAAACATGAGTAATAAACTAAAAGTATCATAGAAACAGGCATTCTGGCTTTAAAGAAAGAATAACATGCTATCTTGCCACTTTTGGCAAGAGGCATGATAGTAATCCATTTATAAATCTAAATTAGCAAGTGTAAGGAAGATGTTACATACAGTATTTTTGTTGCTATATGCATTCCATCACTTCCAATTTATGGTTGGTTTATCATTAACAGAGTTGCTTAGGTCTTGTTGACTCAGGGTCTTACAGATTATGACTTCCTTTCTTAAAGTTACGCCATAGCCTTACAGGCCCTTTCCAAATCCATTATTCTTTGATTCCATGATCTCATGTTAAGCCTCCCTAACATATCACTATAAAGGAAATAGAATTTTGAAACCTGTTATAATCATGACCACCAAAAAAATTGAACAGAATATATTAACAAAATGCACATTTATGAAATATATGAAATTTACTACATGATTTGAATCTGTTACTTCCATTAAGTCATTGAGATTCAGAAACAACTTTTCTTTCATTGTAGTTCATTTCTATTCCTGTATCATCATACCCACAAACCGGATTCCACATACGACAACTTTATGAAAGAAAATCAAGATTTTTCCCCCTTGAGGAAGTACCGCAAATGTATATCTTCAGAATTTTGTAATATTTGCTAAAATGAAATCATTACTGCAACTTTGTTCTAAATTTAGTTTCCTCATAGACTATAACATTGACTAACTTGCTCACAAGATCACAACTAGAGATGGGGTATTTGTATACAAATATCCCCCCACAGGTGCAGATAACAAGGGTTAGTGATGGATTAGCCAGTCCTGGCAGAAGGCAGGATGATGAGCCTCTCTGCCAGGTCTCAGAGTGGCTAATCCATCATGAGCAACAGAGATTTAGGAAGGCTCCATGGAGCTCGCAGCAGCGGCAAAATCATGAGTGGTTAGTCTGGCCCCAGGGGGGTGGACCCTTGTCATCTGCATCTGTAGTGGTGTTGTGATATCTCTAATCACAACTATTTTACTGGCTTCTTATGCATTTAACAGTAGCTAGGTCTACAGACAACAAGTGTCAGTACAGTGGTGCCTCACACAATGATGTTAATTGGTTCCAAAAAAATCAACGTTGTGTGAAACATCGTTCTGTGAAACACCATTTCTCATAGGAATGCATTGAAAACCGGTTAATCCGTTCCAATTGGAACGGATTGCCATCGTTCAGTGAAAATCCCCATAGGAAACATCGTTGAGTGAAACAATGTTTCCTATATTGGAATGTATTGAAGCCGACTCAATACATTTCAATGCCTTTGCGAAGTCCTTTTTCGCTCCTGTAAAGGTGTCTTATAATGTTTGGAAGCTGTTTTAAATGATTGCAATGGTTAGTCCACCTCCTGAAACCTATGCAAACTGATTTTGGTGTTGTTCTGACACTTCGTTAATTTATGATGATTTTTTGAATTTTCTCCATTGGAAACCATTGGATGGTCTGTCTAATGGTTTCCAATGGAAAAAACAAAAAATCATCATAAATTAACGAAGAGTCAGAACAACACCAAAATCAGTTTGCATAGGTTTCAGGAGGTGGACTAACCATTGCAATCATTTAAAACAGCGTCCAAACATTGTAAGACACTTTTACAGGAGCGAAAAAGGACTTCGCAAAGGCATTGAAATGTATTGAGTCGGCTTCAATACATTCCAATATAGGAAACATTGTTTCACTCAACGATGTTTCCTATGGGGATTTTCACTGAACGATGGCAATCCGTTCCAATTGGAACGGATTAACCGGTTTTCAATGCATTCCTATGAGAAATGGTGTTTCACACAACGATGTTTCACACAACGTTGATTTTTTTGGAACCAATTAACATCGTTGTGTGAGGCACCACTGTACAACAAATACTACTAAATCACATATTCAGAAAACAAACTTAAACACCACAGCCAGATCCAGTGGAGGAGTGTGTTGATTTTATGAGTACAGGAGAACAGCCTGACTGGGGCAGGTCCCGATGTTTTTATCCTTCTGCACCAGAAATGGGGAAGAAGTTGTGTGAATTCATCGTTGTGTGAGGCACTCGTTGTGTGAGGCACCACTGTACTTCTCTCAGTGTCATGAAAAGTATTAGCTCATAGATTCTTCAGATCACAATGATATTAGACACAAAGGAAGATTAGGCTTGTATATGACCACTAGTTATATGCTATGGGCTGTTAGGTGCTTGTAATCCTAAAGCAGAAAACTAATTTAAACAAGCTTCCTTCAAGTCCCCCTGTGCACAGGGGGGAGGCGGGGCTTTGTTGCGGTGCTGCCAGTAGCTCTAGAGAAGAGCTCTCTCTGGAAAAACTGGAACCGTCCGGTCTGGGATCCCCTTTTTGAAATGGGGATCGAAGGAGTCTAGGAGAAGTCTCTGTGAAGCAGATGGTGAGCAGCAGGAGAAGAAAGGGATGCAAAGCCAGACTTCTTCCCTCTGAAGAAATCACCCAGCACGGATTGGAGCGGGCGCCATATTTGGCACGGAGCCGTGAGTAACCCTTTATCGGGGAGAGGAGAACAACCAATATAAGCTTAGAATATATAGCAACTAAGTAAGCTGAAGCCTTTGATTTATGAAACGGCCCCATTAAACTGAAAATAAGAATGAAAATATTTGGCTGAAAGAAGAAAAGCAGCGGCGAGCCTATTTTATCAGTCTGCCACAAAAGCGAAACTAACTTTCTTCCCCAAGTGAACTCTTAATATAGCAGGCTGATTTCAAAGCCGAGAGAGTGAGATGGAGAAATAAATCTTATGTTTCTGGAAAAGAATCCCAGACGGTTCTAATGCCATCGGACAGGATTTAAGAGACTTGAGTTTCGTGAATGCAGTTTGGTTGGGACATATTTCTCTTTGCCTTTTCCTGGACTCTGAATTGTTAATAACAGAATCTGGTTGTTTTCTGGAGAAGAAAGAAGGAGCTGACGTGGTCGACTGGACTGAGGAACATTAAGGGGTTAATGGAAAGATCATAAGACGGGCTTCAAGGACAACTATTGGACAGTTTGAGATCCTGTGATTGTTGTTTTGTTTGCTGGCCTGCATGTGAGACTGATAACAGAAGCTTGCTAAACTCTGGAGAAGAAGAAATAATTATGCCACGGTTCTATTTGATTTTGAATTTGCTGGGTTAAAAGTTGATTTTTATATTTTGATATTTGGATAAAGATTGGAGGGAGACCTAAGGAGAGGTCTATGACTAGGGGTTTGGATTGTTGATAAAATTGTGGAAATTGTTGAAGGATATATAAGGGACGATCATTGTGGTTAAGGGCATAGTATTATTTATACAAACCCCATTCATTGGTAAGCCTGAGATGGCCTCCAAAAATTTAAGACAACAAATGGAGACTTGGTCTGTTCAATCCCAAAGTTTTGGAACAGTGGTACAAGAAATAGAAAAGGAATGGCAGATTACTATGCAAAAGATAATAATAACAGGGTTTCAGCAAGTACATGAAGGTCTTAGCAAAATAGAAGATCTGATGAAA